GGGCGCGGCTCTCAACGTGGGCGGGGCTCAACCTTTCTCAACCTTTGAGGCACGTGACGTCCCGACTCCCGTGTTGTGGACTTACCCAATCACAAAAGTAACATGTTATATCTTATATTATTAATATATATATAATGATACCTTGAGGTCTGTGTTACATTTGAGTTTAAATGCAAACTTTTGAACTAACTTGATGGCGAGGGATCTGTCGCCATGGCAACGGCATTTCAAAATGTAAAATTAAACAATTGAAACACATTAACAGCCGTCATGCATGGTTACGAACACATGAACATCGTAAGGGAGGGGAGGAAAAGACCGGGATTCAAAAAGGAAATGGGGAAAAAGAGAGAGTTTAAAGGAGAACTGATTAGAAGTGGAAAATAATACTAAGGGGTAGGAGAGGTTTTGGGGGTTCGGGAGGGAGATTAGGATTAGGTGAAAAGGTAGGGAGTGGTTAGGGTTAGGATGGGGGGAAGGGAAGGGTTAGATTGAAGGAGGGAAGAGAACTGCTACCCGGGAAACAGGATGCAACGCGTCATCTGTGAAGCTCCGCCCACATTGAGCTCATTGAGGCATTGCGCACTGCATTGAGGGGCTTCTCCAGATTTGGGGAAATTGGTCCGTGCGCAAAGCATTGTGGGGATTTTAAGACCGGAGTCTACACATGTGCAGCCTCGAAATGTCTCCAAACGAAGTACGCCGGGCTCGGTAGAATTCCAAGCATGCTGGACATTGGAACAGTCCTTCGGCGGCACTCGTAGCATGCTTGAAATAGTGGCTCTGGAGCATCCTTCCTCGACATTGAGAAACACCCTGAGTCTACCAGAGTTAGTCATGTGATCAGAAACCCTCCAAATCACCGAGAGGCCAGACCCTGATCCAGGAGGACATGATGCTCAGCGGATGAGAGGGAGCATAAACATGCAGAAGGAAAGAAATGAAATCCTGACGACAAAATGAGCTCTCTGACAAACTCTGACATCAAGCTGTTTGTAGTTTTAAATAAAGCTTTGAATGTTAGGAATAAGACTTGCTGTTCAGCAGGGATGTCAATGTAAAAGAAATGACTAATACCAGTAACATTTGGTATGATTCTCAACACCAACTGCAATAAAAGAACACAAATCTCATCAACAACAAACACTGCTTTGTTAGCGCTAGCATGCTTGGTTTTGTTAGGAAGTTTAACACGCCTCTGATTTCTATCCTCGACTGCTGGGATAACATCTCAAACACTAACATGAAAACTATTTAATATACCTCTACTCAATATTTATTTTTACTGAATGGAGCTTGAACGCACCATGATGTTACACTGAGCTCTGGCTACAAACAGCTAGCGGCTAACGGCTAGCAGCTAGCGGCTAACGACTAGCAGCTAACGGCTAACAGCTAAAGTGAGCTAGCCCTCGTGCACACTTTAACACAGATTAGCTGTTCACAATGTAGGATTTTTAGGGAATATTTTTCATTTCCTGCATCCCAAACACACGTTCTATCTCCCCAGGATGCCGTTAGTCTGGAGTCCTAAGGATACTATCTGAGGGTCTGCAGAACAACGAGTACGGTCAAGTTTTGGCATCACTGAGTTCTGGGCACATCCCTAGTATTCAGAGTCCATAGAAACCCTAAGTACAGATCTCCCTGCAGACACAATCAGGTGCTTTAATAATGAAGGGTTTAGCAACAGAGAAAAGCCCATGTTGCCATGCAGGATAATAAATCATAATGAGTGAGGGGGGGTTAAATGAAGGTAGATATGAGGGGGGGATGGTCAGTGTTTGTCGGTATGATTACAAGAGTCTATAATATGAGAACCACTTACTGCTAGATTCTCCATTTGCTAAGCAAGAAGGTGAGCAGGTCACAACAACAACAACAGAAACAGAAGGAGAGAGAGATCCAGAATTAGTGAGCGACACATGGCAGAGACAGGAAGCAGCTCCTTCCTCCTCCTCTTCCTCACAAACACATCAGAGGAACACAAGCCTTTATTTTGAAAGGGTGTTCGGACCACACGAGGAGTTTTACGGGATTTCATACAAAGTCAATGCAAAGCACTCAGGTGTGCTAATCTAAACTGTTGAACCAGCGTGCTGACGCTCATCAGAGTCGAGCTGGCGAGAGTCAGAAACAGAGAAGAGGTTATGGTCTGTGGGCGGAGCTTACACGTCAGCACTGAACCCACAGCAGCAAAGACTTCCAGCTATTCTGAGTTAGCACAAGAGTTAGCTTCCTTCCCTAGTGAATACGCAGTGTGTTAGCTAAGTGTTAAAGGGCTTCTCACTGAATGAAACTCATACGTTTACCAATTTGGGGAATGTTTGCGTTGCAGCAGCATAAAGAGACAGGGCATTGTGCAATAGAGAAATTAAAAGACTAGAAATAAACATCTCATGGCAGAGACTCCTGCAGCTTTGTGTGCAGACAGTGTGTTGTTAGTACACAGCAGCATCTAACAGGACATGCAGGAGCACTACATGCCGTTTCATCTGCAGCTCGTTCAACAAGTGCACGCCACCTGGGTTCAGGTAGGAGACGTTAGCAGGAGAGTTAGCGTGGTGGTTTTTCACAATGTGTTATGGCTTAAAGAGGTTCTATTCTGCTTTTTCCCTATAGGTTTCAGTGCATGTCAATGGTCTGATAACGCTCAAATCCCTGTGTTCTCTCCCACACACTCCCTCCCCTGCCTGAAACACCTCCTTTTGTTTACTTCTGGAACAAAGTGAAACACTTGGTACCTTATTGGAAACCTCACATGTTTGAGTGGCTGCTTCGAACCTCACTGCTCCTACCTGTGTGTGAGTGTCGGCTCTCCGGTTGCTCTCTTTGTCTCCAAAGGTTTTCTTGCAGTTCTCCAGCCACTGCAGGAGGAAGAGGAATAACACATTAAAGATGGAGGGGGACGTCTGCATCTGTGTGTGATAAAGGTTGGTGGGGGCAGATCTAATAACAGGGCTGTACTTAGAGAATTAAAGGAGGCCTGTGCAGCGATGGGTTGGTCTCCAGGCCTCCAGGGAACATCCAGTATAATTCAATTAGCTGCCCCACACACACACACACACCCACACACACCTCCCCCCACTGCCGAACTGATTTAGTGGAGGAGGGTTATTTTTATCCTGCAGCAGATGTGATGCAGACAGAAACAGCAGCTCCTCAGAACACACACACACACACACACACACACACACACACACACACACACACACACACACACACACACACACACACACACACACACACACACACACACACACACACACACACACACACACACACACACACACACACACACACACACACACACACACACACACACACACCACACACACACACACACACACACACACACACACACACACACACACACACACACACACACACACACACACACACACACACACACACACACACACACACACACACACACACACACACACACACACACACACACACACACACACACACACACACACACAGGTTCTGCAGATCTGGCTCTCTTCTCTCTCTGCATCGTCTGCACTTTATTTAGATGCAATGCCAACATGATCCTGATTGTGGGAATCGAAATGTTTAAAGTCCAGATCCTGGGAGTCTAAAATTAATTGTTGTAAACTCAAAAAGAAAGGGAAGTTTCTGGGAAATGTAAAAAGTTTAATACATTTGATTTATTATGTTTTAATTGAAGTTGTAGGCACGTTTTCTCTCAGTGATTGTGATGTTGTGTTAAATGTTTGATTCTCATGTATTGTGACTTGATGTTTGTTAAAGTAAGTAAAGTGAACAGGAAGTGATGATGATGGGCGGGGTCTCACCTGCTCGGCCGCCTCCCTCTTGGCGTTGTAGGTGTCCAGGTGTTCCTGTAACTCCAGCACACTAAACTTCAGAGTCTCCAACAGGCCACAAGAGACCAGCTACAGGACAGGACAACACACACATTAACACAACACACACCACAGAGCTCCAGGACACACACTCAGCAATACAGAGCTGCAGGAATGAGTCCTCAAAACCAAACATGAGTCAGCATTTTAGCACTTCCTGTCCCCCTGGTCTGGAGGTCAATGGTTTGCTGAATGTGTTTTTGGTTGTTATCCTGAAATAAGGTCTGTGGTTATCACGAGCTGAAGAGACTTTAATGTTTTGCTCTACAACATAAAATATGTCAGTAAATACCCCTCTGGTGTATTTAAAAAAACTGTTGCTAACAAGTGTCTAATGAGACGACTAAATGTCATCACGCCCAACATTAGCCGCCTTTAGCTTAGCGGTGGTGACGTGAAGTCATGTGACCGTGCTGTAGTTCCTTTATAGCCCAACATTAGCCTCCTTTAGCTTAGCGGTGGTGACGTGAAGTCATGTGACCGTGCTGTAGTTCCTTTATAGCCCAACATTAGCTGCCTTTAGCTTAGCGGTGGTGACGTGAAGTCATGTGACCGTGCTGTAGTTCCTCTATAGCCCAACATTAGCCACCTTTAGCTTAGCGGTGGTGACGTGAAGTCATGTGACCGTGCTGTAGTTCCTCTATAGCCCAACATTAGCCACCTTTAGCTTAGCGGTGGTGACGTGAAGTCATGTGACCGTGCTGTAGTTCCTCTATAGCCCAACATTAGCCACCTTTAGCTTAGCGGTGGTGACGTGGAGTCATGTGACCGTGCTGTAGTTCCTCTATAGCCCAACATTAGCCACCTTTAGCTTAGCGGTGGTGACGTGAAGTCATGTGACCGTGCTGTAGTTCCTTAATAGCCCAACATTAGCCTCCTTTAGCTTAGCGGTGGTGACGTGAAGTCATGTGACCGTGCTGTAGTTCCTTTATAGCCCAACATTAGCCACCTTTAGCTTAGCGGTGGTGACGTGAAGTCATGTGACCGTGCTGTAGTTCCTTTATAGCCCAACATTAGCCGCCTTTAGCTTAGCGGTGGTGACGTGAAGTCATGTGACCGTGCTGTAGTTCCTCTATAACCCAACATTAGCCGCCTTTAGCTTAGCGGTGGTGACGTGAAGTCATGTGACCGTGCTGTAGTTCCTCTATAGCCCAACATTAGCCACCTTTAGCTTAGCGGTGGTGACGTGAAGTCATGTGACCGTGCTGTAGTTCCTCTATAGCCCAACATTAGCCACCTTTAGCTTAGCGGTGGTGACGTGGAGTCATGTGACCGTGCTGTCGTTCCTCTATAGCCCAACATTAGCCACCTTTAGCTTAGCGGTGGTGACGTGAAGTCATGTGACCGTGCTGTAGTTCCTTAATAGCCCAACATTAGCCTCCTTTAGCTTAGCGGTGGTGACGTGAAGTCATGTGACCGTGCTGTAGTTCCTTAATAGCCCAACATTAGCCACCTTTAGCTTAGCGGTGGTGACGTGAAGTCATGTGACCGTGCTGTAGTTCCTTTATAGCCCAACATTAGCCGCCTTTAGCTTAGCGGTGGTGACGTGAAGTCATGTGACCGTGCTGTAGTTCCTTTATAGCCCAACATTAGCCGCCTTTAGCTTAGCGGTGGTGACGTGAAGTCATGTGACCGTGCTGTAGTTCCTCTATAGCCCAACATTAGCCACCTTTAGCTTAGCGGTGGTGACGTGAAGTCATGTGACCGTGCTGTAGTTCCTCTATAGCCCAACATTAGCCACCTTTAGATTAGTGGTGGTGACGTGAAGTCATGTGACCGTGCTGTAGTTCCTCTATAGCCCAACATTAGCCACCTTTAGCTTAGCGGTGGTGACGTGGAGTCATGTGACCGTGCTGTAGTTCCTCTATAGCCCAACATTAGCCACCTTTAGCTTAGCGGTGGTGACGTGAAGTCATGTGACCGTGCTGTAGTTCCTTAATAGCCCAACATTAGCCTCCTTTAGCTTAGCGGTGGTGACGTGAAGTCATGTGACCGTGCTGTAGTTCCTTAATAGCCCAACATTAGCCACCTTTAGCTTAGCGGTGGTGACGTGAAGTCATGTGACCGTGCTGTAGTTCCTTTATAGCCCAACATTAGCCACCTTTAGCTTAGCGGTGGTGACGTGAAGTCATGTGACCGTGCTGTAGTTTGTTAGCTTTTTACTTCAGAAATCATAAAGTGGTGTTAACATGTAGAGATCATCCTGCTGAACTAAACGTGTAAGTATCATCAACGTTTGAGATTATTTTCTGACATAATCCAAAATGACATGGAGGAATCCCATTGGACCAGGGAGATGCTGCCTTCAGGGACCGACACAGAAACACCACATTCTGCAGCTCTGTATGTGCACAGCATGCAGTGATTTAAAATGATAATGTACATGTTTCTGCAGCACATTTCCCATCATGCAGCTCACCGTCTCTGCGTCCAGCAGCACTGTGGGACACTGCGAGCGAGACGTCATCACCTCCAGAGAACTCAGGAACTGGTTCCCCATCCGCTGAAGGTCCTCCCCCAGGAACCTCACGGAGGAGTGGGTGATGGAGCTGAACTTCTTCTGCATGTTCTGTGAGGAGGGGGGTAAAAATAATAATTATGATGCTCACTATTAGGGCTGTGAATCTGTTTGTATCTCTTGATTTAAAAGTGATACTGGATTCAGTTCATAGGGAACATTTCAGGATGTCCTTTAGTCTGCTGTGCACTGACATAAGGCGCTTTCACACCGGAGTACTTTTCCCCCGTACTTTTCCCGTTTAGTTCCGATAGTGCCTGGAATTTTGCGTTCACACCAAAAAGAGAACTTAGTTCAGAGAACTTTTAGAGAGGTGGGACTATCCTGGGGAGAAAAAAGTACCCATTTCTGATTGGCTTGGCGAATTGCAAACCAGGCCCCGTAAAACTCTGAAAAGTTTTGTGAAGGCGCCATTATATTAGCATTATTAGCATTAGCCCCATGCACCAACGGAGAGAGAATAACTTATGGCAACACAAAAGAAAACATGGGAGCGGTGGAGATGAGGAGGTGTCGGCGTTCTGGCGATTTAATCGGAAGGCTTCAGTAGAAGCTGCTGGGAGTCCCAGCAGCTTCTACTGAAGCCTTCCCCAACTCCGGGGACTCCGGGTGGCAGTATACGCCGTGAAGTGGTTTGCGGCCTGCCAGTAAACCCAAAGCAGAAGAAGAAGAAGTGACGTCAGCGGCTTCATTTGCCTAATCCTCCCTCAGGGAAATTATTACGGTATGAACGCGGTTTGTACTTAGTTCCATGGGGGTACTAAGTGCTGGGAACTAAGTGCTGGAAACTAGGTGCTGGGAACTAAGTGCTGGGAACTAGGTGCTGGGAACTAGGTGCTGGGAACTAAGTGCTGGGCACTAAGTGCTGGGCACTAAGTGCTGGGAACTAAGTGCTGGGAACTAAGTGCTGGGAACTAAGTGCTGGGAACTAAGTGCTGGGAACTAGGTGCTGGGAACTAGGTGCTGGGAACTAAGTGCTGGGAACTAAGTGCTGGGAACTAGGTGCTGGGAACTAGGTGCTGGGAACTAGGTGCTGGGCACTAAGTGCTGGGCACTAAGTGCTGGGAACTAGGTGCTGGGAACTAGGTGCTGGGAACTAAGTGCTGGGAACTAAGTGCTGGGAACTAGGTGCTGGGAACTAAGTGCTGGGAACTAGGTGCTGGGAACTAAGTGCTGGGAACTAGGTGCTGGGAACTAGGTGCTGGGAACTAAGTGCTGGGAACTAGGTGCTGGGAACTAGGTGCTGGGAACTAAGTGCTGGGCACTAAGTGCTGGGCACTAAGTGCTGGGCACTAAGTGCTGGGAACTAGGTGCTGGGAACTAGGTGCTGGGAACTAAGTGCTGGGAACTAGGTGCTGGGAACTAGGTGCTGGGAACTAAGTGCTGGGCACTAAGTGCTGGGCACTAAGTGCTGGGCACTAAGTGCTGGGAACTAAGTGCTGGGAACTAAGTACGGCAAAGTACTTGGTGTGAAAGCGGCTATTGAGTCAAATGATGCATGAAAGCAAAGTGTGTTTATCGTTATGGAGTTTTTATATTTGGATATCAACTAATTGCAAGAATGTAAACACACTAAAGCTAAGATAAATTAGTTAAAATATAATAATTCTGTCTATAACTTATGTAAATGTTTTCCATGAGGATATCTGCCTCTAACAAACTAACCAATTTAAAAAACGTACTGTGCGGTATTTTCTAGCTAGAAATAACGATAACTCCACTTTGACTTGGTGCATATGATAACTGCATCAGCAGCACACCTTGCTTCTCTCGGAGAAAACCCCACATGATATTATCGTGGGGACTCAGGTGTGTGTACCTGGAAGAGTCTGGAGAACACGTGGAAGGTGTAAACGGCAGAGGAGCCGTCCGTGTCCGACAGCATCTGGTTGACATGGCAACGCCACGCCTCCTCCTCGCTCTCGTAGGCGACCGGCTGGAAGGCGGCGAGGATGGCAGAGAGAAAGGGCGAAGGGGGGGGGGAGGTCTGGGGGAAGCAGTCTGCGTCACCTTCATCCTGACTGCAACACACACACACACACACACAGACAGACACACACACACACACACACACACAGTAAGATAAGGATAAAGTTAAACATTTACAGATTTACAGTAACTAAATATAAAGCAGGATATTATATACATTAATTGTGCAAGGAATGGATTATGAAATATTAAATTGAATATAAAATGTGAGTTTAAATCCAGTTATCAGAGAAGCTGATGGAGGAGAGAGTTGTTATACAGAGTTATTGCAGTCGGCAGGAATGTTTTCCTGTATCTGTCATTGTCACACACACACACACACACACACACTTTCCTCCCTGCAGCTCCAATCTGCTGCAGAGCTCTGGCACAATAACAACAGTAGCTAGTAGCTAATAGCATTAGCATCACACACACACATGCGTACGCATACACACTCTGATACTCACAGGCCGGTGGGGCCGAACAGCCTGAAGAAGCACACAGAGTAAAAGTATCTGAAGCCGGTGCTGTGCACAGCCTCTGTCCTCATCCCGAATAACACTCTCCCCCCACACACACACACACATACTCTGCCCTCGTCTGCAGCTGCTAGCACGCAGCACTGCAGACACACACTCCTGCTCTCGGGAACAACGTCAGTTTTTATGACTCTCGCTCACCAAATCCTCTCAAACGGAGAAACGAGTTAAAGTCCCGCTGCAGGACAATCTCTCCACACACACACACACACACACACACACACACACACACACACACACACACACACACACACACACACACACACACACACACACACACACACACACACACACACACACACACACACACACACACACACACACACACACACACACACACACACACACACACACACACACACACACACACACACACACACACACACACACACACACACACACACACACACACACACACACACACACACACACACACACACACACACACACACACACACACACACACACACACACACACACACACACACACACACACCAGAGCCAGCTCCAAAGCACTGATTAGAAGTGTGTTTGTAATTTGGACAGAGAAATAATATAGAATCTGCTTTTCACTGACGATCAAGTGTATTTTGGACAGATTTACAAAACTTTATAAACTGTCAAATGTGTTTTAACGTACAGATTTATATGTTGTATTTGATGCTAAATGTCGTCTTCTATGGCCTGGATAACACCAGAGAAATTAGGAAAAAGTTAACGATGTAAAAAGCCAATTCTAATTAAAAAAAATGAACAAATGTGAGCTGATTTTTAAATGAGAATGTGAACATGATTAATATCTATAGTTTATAATATAAAATGATCTGATTCTGCATCTGGACCATCTCATCTAGATAGAGACACTACATACTGATATACACCTGAACATCAGCAGGAGAGGACTCTTTAAAGTAGAGACACTACATACTGATATACACCTGAACATCAGCAGGAGAGCACTCTTTAAAGTAGAGACACTACATACTGAGATACACCTGAACATCAGCAGGAGAGGACTCTTTAAAGTAGAGACACTACATACTGATATACACCTGAACATCAGCAGGAGAGGACTCTTTAAAGTAGAGACACTACATACTGATATACACCTGAACATCAGCAGGAGAGCACTCTTTAAAGTAGAGACACTACATACTGAGATACACCTGAACATCAGCAGGAGAGGACTCTTTAAAGTAGAGACACTACATACTGATACACACCTGAACATCAGCAGGAGAGGACTCTTTAAAGTAGAGACACTACATACTGATATACACCTGAACATCAGCAGGAGAGGACTCTTTAAAGTAGATACACTACATACTGATATACACCTGAACATCAGCAGGAGAGGACTCTTTAAAGTAGAGACACTACATACTGATATACACCTGAACATCAGCAGGAGAGGACTCTTTAAAGTAGAGACACTACATACTGAGATACACCTGAACATCAGCAGGAGAGGACTCTTTAAAGTAGAGACACTACATACTGAGATACACCTGAACATCAGCAGGAGAGGACTCTTTAAAGTAGAGACACTACATACTGAGATACACCTGAACATCAGCAGGAGAGGACTCTTTAAAGTAGAGACACTACATACTGATATACACCTGAACATCAGCAGGAGAGGACTCTTTAAAGTAGAGACACTACATACTGATATACACCTGAACATCAGCAGGAGAGGACTCTTTAAAGTAGAGACACTACATACTGATATACACCTGAGCATCAGCAGGAGAGGACTCTTTAAAGTAGAGACACTACATACTGATATACACCTGAACATCAGCAGGAGAGGACTCTTTAAAGTAGAGACACTACATACTGATATACACCTGAACATCAGCAGGAGAGGACTCTTTAAAGTAGAGACGCTACATACTGATATACACCTGAACATCAGCAGGAGAGCACTCTTTAAAGTAGAGACACTACATACTGATATACACCTGAACATCAGCAGGAGAGGACTCTTTAAAGTAGAGACACTACATACTGATATACACCTGAACATCAGCAGGAGAGCACTCTTTAAAGTAGAGACACTACATACTGATATACACCTGAACATCAGCAGGAGAGGACTCTTTAAAGTAGAGACACTACATACTGATATACATCTGAACATCAGCAGGAGAGGACTCTTTAAAGTAGACACTACATACTGATATACATCTGAACATCAGCAGGAGAGGACTCTTTAAAGTAGACACTACATACTGATATACACCTGAACATCAGCAGGAGAGGACTCTTTAAAGTAGAGACACTACATACTGATATACACCTGAACATCAGCAGGAGAGGACTCTTTAAAGTAGAGACACTACATACTGATATACACCTGAACATCAGCAGGAGAGGACTCTTTAAAGTAGAGACACTACATACTGATATACACCTGAACATCAGCAGGAGAGGACTCTTTAAAGTAGAGACACTACATACTGATATACACCTGAACATCAGCAGGAGAGGACTCTTTAAAGTAGAGACACTACATACTGATATACACCTGAACATCAGCAGGAGAGGACTCTTTAAAGTAGAAACACTACATACTGATATACACCTGAACATCCGCAGGAGAGGACTCTTTAAAGTAGAGACACTACATACTGATATACACCTGAACATCAGTAGGAGAGGACTCTTTAAAGTAGAGACACTACATACTGATATACACCTGAACATCAGTAGGAGAGGACTCTTTAAAGTAGAGACACTACATACTGATATACACCTGAACATCAGCAGGAGAGGACTCTTTAAAGTAGAGACACTACATACTGATATACACCTGAACATCAGCAGGAGAGGACTCTTTAAAGTAGAGACACTACATACTGATATACACCTGAACATCAGCAGGAGAGGACTCTTTAAAGTAGAGACACTACATACTGATATACACCTGAACATCAGCAGGAGAGGACTCTTTAAAGTAGAGACACTAAATGCTGATATACACCTGAACATCAGCAGAGGAGGACTCTTTAAAGTAGAGACACTACATACTGATATACACCTGAACATCAGCAGGAGAGGACTCTTTAAAGTAGAGACACTACATGCTGATATACACCTGAACATCAGCAGAGGAGGACTCTTTAAAGTAGAGACACTACATACTGATATACACCTGAACACCAGCAGGAGAGGACTCTTTAAAGTAGAGACACTACATACTGATATACACCTGAACATCAGCAGGAGAGGACTCTTTAAAGTAGAGACACTACATACTGATATACACCTGAACATCAGCAGGAGAGGACTCTTTAAAGTAGAGACACTACATACTGATATACACCTGAACATCAGCAGGAGAGGACTCTTTAAAGTAGAGACACTAAATGCTGATATACACCTGAACATCAGCAGAGGAGGACTCTTTAAAGTAGAGACACTACATACTGATATACACCTGAACATCAGCAGGAGAGGACTCTTTAAAGTAGAGACACTACATGCTGATATACACCTGAACATCAGCAGAGGAGGACTCTTTAAAGTAGAGACACTACATACTGATATACACCTGAACACCAGCAGGAGAGGACTCTTTAAAGTAGAGACACTACATACTGATATACACCTGAACATCAGCAGGAGAGGACTCTTTAAAGTAGAGACACTACATACTGATATACACCTGAACATCAGCAGGAGAGGACTCTTTAAAGTAGAGACACTACATACTGATATACACCTGAACATCAGCAGGAGAGGACTCTTTAAAGTAGAGACACTACATGCTGATATACACCTGAACATCAGCAGAGGAGGACTCTTTAAAGTAGAGACACTACATACTGATATACACCTGAACATCAGCAGGAGAGGACTCTTTAAAGTAGAGACACTACATACTGATATACACCTGAGCATCAGCAGGAGAGGACTCTTTAAAGTAGAGACACTACATGCTGATATACACCTGAACATCAGCAGAGGAGGACTCTTTAAAGTAGAGACACTACATACTGATATACACCTGAACACCAGCAGGAGAGGACTCTTTAAAGTAGAGACACTACATACTGATATACACCTGAACATCAGCAGGAGAGGACTCTTTAAAGTAGAGACACTACATGCTGATATACACCTGAACATCAGCAGAGGAGGACTCTTTAAAGTAGAGACACTACATACTGATATACACCTGAACACCAGCAGGAGAGGACTCTTTAAAGTAGAGACACTACATACTGATATACACCTGAACATCAGCAGGAGAGGACTCTTTAAAGTAGAGACACTACATACTGATATACACCTGAACATCAGCAGGAGAGGACTCTTTAAAGTAGAGACACTAAATGCTGATATATACCTGAACATCAGCAGAGGAGGACTCTTTAAAGTAGAGACACTACATACTGATATACACCTGAACATCAGCAGGAGAGGACTCTTTAAAGTAGAGACACTACATGCTGATATACACCTGAACATCAGCAGAGGAGGACTCTTTAAAGTAGAGACACTACATACTGATATACACCTGAACACCAGCAGGAGAGGACTCTTTAAAGTAGAGACACTACATACTGATATACACCTGAACATCAGCAGGAGAGGACTCTTTAAAGTAGAGACACTACATACTGATATACACCTGAACATCAGCAGGAGAGGACTCTTTAAAGTAGAGACACTACATACTGATATACACCTGAACATCAGCAGGAGAGGACTCTTTAAAGTAGAGACACTACATGCTGATATACACCTGAACATCAGCAGAGGAGGACTCTTTAAAGTAGAGACACTACATACTGATATACACCTGAACATCAGCAGGAGAGGACTCTTTAAAGTAGAGACACTACATGCTGATATACACCTGAACATCAGCAGAGGAGGACTCTTTAAAGTAGAGACACTACATACTGATATACACCTGAACACCAGCAGGAGAGGACTCTTTAAAGTAGAGACACTACATACTGATATACACCTGAACATCAGCAGGAGAGGACTCTTTAAAGTAGAGACACTACATACTGATATACACCTGAACATCAGCAGGAGAGGACTCTTTAAAGTAGAGACACTACATACTGATATACACCTGAACATCAGCAGGAGAGGACTCTTTAAAGTAGAGACACTACATACTGATATACACCTGAACATCAGCAGGAGAGGACTCTTTAAAGTAGAGACACTACATACTGATATACACCTGAACATCAGCAGGAGAGGACTCTTTAAAGTAGAGACACTACATACTGATATACATCTGAACATCAGCAGGAGAGGACTCTTTAAAGTAGAGACACTACATACTGATATACACCTGAACATCAGCAGGAGAGGACTCTTTAAAGTAGAGACACTACATACTGATATGCATCTGAACATCAGCAGGAGAGAACTCTTTAAAGTAGAGACACTACATACTGATATACACCTAAACATCAGCAGGAGAGGACTCTTTAAAGTAGAGACACTACATACTGATATACACCTGAACATCAGCAGGAGAGGACTCTTTAAAGTAGAGACACTACATACTGATATACACCTGAACATCAGCAGGAGAGGACTCTTTAAAGTAGAGACACTACATACTGATATACACCTGAACATCAGCAGGAGAGGACTCTTTAAAGTAGAGACACTACATGCTGATATACACCTGAACATCAGCAGAGGAGGACTCTTTAAAGTAGAGACACTACATACTGATATACACCTGAACACCAGCAGGAGAGGACTCTTTAAAGTAGAGACACTACATACTGATATACACCTGAACATCAGCAGGAGAGGACTCTTTAAAGTAGAGACACTACATACTGATATACACCTGAACATCAGCAGGAGAGGACTCTTTAAAGTAGAGACACTACATACTGATATACACCTGAACATCAGCAGGAGAGGACTCTTTAAAGTAGAGACACTACATGCTGATATACACCTGAACATCAGCAGAGGAGGACTCTTTAAAGTAGAGACACTACATACTGATATACACCTGAACATCAGCAGGAGAGGACTCTTTAAAGTAGAGACACTACATACTGATATACACCTGAACATCAGCAGAGGAGGACTCTTTAAAGTAGAGACACTACATACTGATATACACCTGAACACCAGCAGGAGAGGACTCTTTAAAGTAGAGACACTACATACTGATATACACCTGAACATCAGCAGGAGAGGACTCTTTAAAGTAGAGACACTACATACTGATATACACCTGAACATCAGCAGGAGAGGACTCTTTAAAGTAGAGACACTACATACTGATATACACCTGAACATCAGCAGGAGAGGACTCTTTAAAGTAGAGACACTACATACTGATATACACCTGAACATCAGCAGGAGAGGACTCTTTAAAGTAGAGACACTACATACTGATATACACCTGAACATCAGCAGGAGAGGACTCTTTAAAGTAGAGACACTACATACTGATATACATCTGAACATCAGCAGGAGAGGACTCTTTAAAGTAGAGACACTACATACTGATATACACCTGAACATCAGCAGGAGAGGACTCTTTAAAGTAGAGACACTACATACTGATATGCATCTGAACATCAGCAGGAGAGAACTCTTTAAAGTAGAGACACTACATACTGATATACACCTAAACATCAGCAGGAGAGGACTCTTTAAAGTAGAGACACTACATACTGATATACACCTGAACATCAGCAGGAGAGGACTCTTTAAAGTAGAGACACTACATACTGATATACACCTGAACATCAACAGGAGAGGACTCTTTAAAGTAGAGACACTACATACTGATATACACCTGAACATCAGCAGGAGAGGACTCTTTAAAGTAGAGACACTACATACTGATATACATCTGAACATCAGCAGGAGAGAACTCTTTAAAGTAGAGACACTACATACTGATATACACCTGAACATCAGCAGGAGAGGACTCTTTAAAGTAGAGACACTACATACTGATATACACCTGAACATCAGCAGGAGAGGACTCTTTAAAGTAGAGACACTACATACTGATATACACCTGAACATCAACAGGAGAGGACTCTTTAAAGTAGAGACACTACACACTGATATACACCTGAATATCAGCAGGAGAGGACTCTTTAAAGTAGAGACACTACATACTGATATACATCTGAACATCAGCAGGAGAGGACTCTTTAAAGTAGAGACACTACATACTGATATACACCTGAACATCAGCAGGAGAGGACTCTTTAAAGTAGAGACACTGCATACTGATATAGACCTGGACATCAGCAGGAGAGGACTCTTTAAAGTAGAGACACTACATACTGATATACACCTGAACATCAGCAGGAGAGGACTCTTTAAAGTAGAGACACTACATACTGATATACACCTGAACATCAGCAGGAGAGGACTCTTTAAAGTAGAGACACTACATACTGATATACACCTGAACATCAACAGGAGAGGACTCTTTAAAGTAGAGACACTACACACTGATATACACCTGAACATCAGCAGGAGAGGACTCTTTAAAGTAGAGACACTACATACTGATATACACCTGAACATCAGCAGGAGAGGACTCTTTAAAGTAGAGACACTACATACTGATATACACCTGAACATCAGCAGGAGAGGACTCTTTAAAGTAGAGACACTACATACTGATATACATCTGAACATCAGCAGGAGAGAACTCTTTAAAGTAGAGACACTACATACTGATATACACCTGAACATCAACAGGAGAGGACTCTTTAAAGTAGAGACACTACATACTGATATACACCTGAACATCAGCAGGAGAGGACTCTTTAAAGTAGAGACACTACATACTGATATACACCTGAACATCAGCAGGAGAGGACTCTTTAAAGTAGAGACACTACATACTGATATACACCTGAACATCAACAGGAGAGGACTCTTTAAAGTGGAGACACTACATACTGATATACACCTGATCATCAACAGGAGAGGACTCTTTAAAGTAGAGACACTACATACTGATATACACCTGAACATCAGCAGGAGAGGACTCTTTAAAGTAGAGACACTACATACTGATATACACCTGAACATCAGCAGGAGAGGACTCTTAAAGTAGAGACACTACATACTGATATACACCTGAACATCAGCAGGAGAGGACTCTTTAAAGTAGAGACACTACATACTGATATACACCTGAACATCAGCAGGAGAGGACTCTTTAAAGTAGAGACACTACATACTGATATACATCTGAACATCAGCAGGAGAGAACTCTTTAAAGTAGAGACACTACATACTGATATACACCTGAACATCAACAGGAGAGGACTCTTTAAAGTAGAGACACTACATACTGATATACACCTGAACATCAGCAGGAGAAGACTCTTTAAAGTAGAGACACTACATACTGATATACACCTGAACATCAGCAGGAGATGACTCTTTAAAGTAGAGACACTACATACTGATATACACCTGAACATCAGCAGGAGAAGACTCTTTAAAGTAGAGACACTACATACTGATATACACCTGAACATCAGCAGGAGAAGACTCTTTAAAGTAGAGACACTACATACTGATATACACCTGAACATCAGCAGGAGAGGACTCTTTAAAGTAGAGACACTACATACTGATATACACCTGAACATCAGCAGGAGAGGACTCTTTAAAGTAGAGACACTACATACTGATATACACCTGAACATCAGCAGGAGAGGACTCTTTAAAGTAGAGACACTACATACTGATATACACCTGAACATCAGCAGGAGAGGACTCTTTAAAGTAGAGCCACTACTACATACTGATATACACCTGAACATCAGCAGGAGAGGACTCTTTAAAGTAGAGAAACTACATACTGATATACACCTGAACATCAGCAGGAGAGGACTCTTTAAAGTGCTGTTCATACCTGGACATGTCTGAGAGGTCGCCCCCCTCCTCCTCACAGCGATCGTCCAGCTCCTTCAGAGCCAGCGTCACGTCCTCTTCCCACCCAAAGGTGCTGTCGGGGTCCGGGTCTGGATCAGGATCTGGGTCTGGCTGAGTCTCCGGGAGGACCTGCAGCACTATGGGGGGGTCCTCCTCATACAGCGACCCTGGGGGTGTGTCTGTGGCTGGCGGGGGAGGGGGGTCAGGGTTAGGGTCCTCCTGAGGGTCCTGGAGGTCACACAGCTCAGAGGCGTCAGAGGGCAGTGGGGGGACGGAGCAGAACCCCGTGTCTGTGCTCACACTGCTGCTGAGATCCTCTCCTAACGTCATGCTGACTCCATCCTGCAACCAGAGAGCGAGACATAACCTTTAGTTCAGACGGAGAATCTCCACATATTAACAACACTTTAGGATATTTGAAGTAAAAACTAACGTAATGTTGGGCTGTAAAGGAACTACAGCACGGTCACATGACTTCACGTCACCACCGCTAAGCTAAAGGTGGCTAATGTTGGGCTGTAAAGGAACTACAGCACGGTCACATGACTTCACGTCACCGCCGCTAAGCTAAAGGAGGCTAATGTTGGGCTATAAAGTTACTACAGCACGGTCACATGACTTCACGTCACCAGCGCTAAGCTAAAGGAGGCTAATGTTGGGCTATAAAGTTACTACACCACGGTCACATGACTTCACGTCACCACCGCTAAGCTAAAGGAGGCTAATGTTGGGCTATAAAGTTACTACAGCACGGTCACATGATTTCACGTCACCACCGCTAAGCTAAAGGAGGCTAATGTTGGGCTGTAAAGGAACTACAGCACGGTCACATGACTTCACGTCACCACCGCTAAGCTAAAGGTGGCTAATGTTGGGCTGTAAAGGAATTACAGCACGGTCACATGACTTCACGTCACCACCGCTAAGCTAAAGGAGGCTAATGTTGGGCTGTAAAGAAACTACAGCACGGTCACATGACTTCACGTCACCACCGCTAAGCTAAAGGAGGCTAATGTTGGGCTATAAAGGAACTACAGCACAGACACATGACTTCACCACCGCTAAGGTAAAGGTGGCTAATGTTGGGCTATAAAGGAACTACAGCACGGTCACATGACTTCACGTCACCACCGCTAAGCTAAAGGAGGCTAATGTTGGGCTATAAAGTTACTACAGCACGGTCACATGATTTCACGTCACCACCGCTAAGCTAAAGGAGGCTAATGTTGGGCTGTAAAGGAACTACAGCACGGTCACATGACTTCACGTCACCACCGCTAAGCTAAAGGTGGCTAATGTTGGGCTGTAAAGGAATTACAGCACGGTCACATGACTTCACGTCACCACCGCTAAGCTAAAGGAGGCTAATGTTGGGCTGTAAAGAAACTACAGCACGGTCACATGACTTCACGTCACCACCGCTAAGCTAAAGGAGGCTAATGTTGGGCTATAAAGGAACTACAGCACAGACACATGACTTCACCACCGCTAAGGTAAAGGTGGCTAATGTTGGGCTATAAAGGAACTACAGCACGGTCACATGACTTCACGTCACCACCGCTAAGCTAAAGGAGGCTAATGTTGGGCTATAAAGGAACTACAGCACAGACACATGACTTCACCACCGCTAAGCTAAAGGTGGCTAATGTTGGGCTGTAAAGGAACTACAGCACGGTCACATGACTTCACGTCACCACCGCTAAGCTAAAGGAGGCTAATGTTGGGCTATAAAGTTACTACAGCACGGTCACATGACTTCACGTCACCAGCGCTAAGCTAAAGGAGGCTAATGTTGGGCTATAAAGTTACTACACCACGGTCACATGACTTCACGTCACCACCGCTAAGCTAAAGGAGGCTAATGTTGGGCTATAAAGTTACTACAGCACGGTCACATGACTTCACGTCACCACCGCTAAGCTAAAGGAGGCTAATGTTGGGCTGTAAAGGAACTACAGCACGGTCACATGACTTCACGTCACCACCGCTAAGCTAAAGGTGGCTAATGTTGGGCTGTAAAGGAACTACAGCACGGTCACATGACTTCACGTCACCACCGCTAAGCTAAAGGAGGCTAATGTTGGGCTATAAAGGAACTACAGCACAGACACATGACTTCACCACCGCTAAGGTAAAGGTGGCTAATGTTGGGCTATAAAGGAACTACAGCACGGTCACATGACTTCACGTCACCACCGCTAAGCTAAAGGAGGCTAATGTTGGGCTATAAAGGAACTACAGCACAGACACATGACTTCACCACCGCTAAGCTAAAGGTGGCTAATGTTGGGCTGTAAAGGAACTACAGCACGGTCACATGACTTCACGTCACCACCGCTAAGCTAAAGGAGGCTAATGTTGGGCTGTAAAGAAACTACAGCACGGTCACATGACTTCACGTCACCACCGCTAAGCTAAAGGAGGCTAATGTTGGGCTATAAAGGAACTACAGCACAGACACATGACTTCACCACCGCTAAGGTAAAGGTGGCTAATGTTGGGCTATAAAGGAACTACAGCACGGTCACATGACTTCACGTCACCACCGCTAAGCTAAAGGAGGCTAATGTTGGGCTATAAAGGAACTACAGCACAGACACATGACTTCACCACCGCTAAGCTAAAGGTGGCTAATGTTGGGCTGTAAAGGAACTACAGCACGGTCACATGACTTCACGTCACCACCGCTAAGCTAAAGGAGGCTAATGTTGGGCTATAAAGGAACTACAGCACGGTCACATGACTTCACGTTAGGGCTGTGCGATTATGGCAAAAATCATAATCACGATTATTTTGACGATTATTCATTGACCATTTATTGAACTTTAAAACAAATAATATTTTACCAATAAACAAGATCAACAAATATGTTGGAGCGCACTTCCAAAACCATATATTATTAATATGATAAATAAAAATAAATTAGACCAAAATAAATGAAATCAAATATGATGCAGTGCACGGTCACAACCTACTGAAAACTCCTTAACATATAGCCAACATTTTGGTAAAACATATTCAACATATTCCACTCAGTTAAACGTTGAAGGCTGGTCAACCGTCATGGTCCAGAAGTAACAGGAAATAAATGTTGAACTACAATTTAAGACCAAATAAAAATGTTTAGGCCACCATGGCAAATGCTGGTAGGGCTGCTCATGTCATCTCTTAAAGATTTTTTGCAAGAAACACCAGCCTGTTTACATGGTTTGGTTTCAGAGATGAGCGCAGGCAGGTGACGATATTGCCACCTGTACTGAAGACCCTCAGCCACGCCCCGACACATGGGGTGACGCCGGCCAATCACAAAGCTTTGATGCGTTCAAGTGCATTATTCTGGCACAGGAAGATTATGTTACAGGACATTGTTGTTCTCTACCGTCCACCAGGCGCCTTGGGGGACTTCTTGGAGGAATTAGATCATCTCCTCTCACACATCCCTGAAACTGGTCCTCCCGCTGTACTTCTCGGAGACTTCAACCTCCAGACAGGGAAGATAGACGAACTAACATCTCTGTTAACCGCTTTTGCTTTCTCACTGTCTCCATCCCCACCAACTCATAAAGCTGGCAATGTCCTTGATCTCATATTCTCAAGGAACTGCACTACTTCTAACCTCTCTGTAACCCCGCTCCACACATCCGATCACTTCTTCATTTCATTCTCTCTACCCCTTTCCAAACATAACGAACTAATCTCTTCTCATCCTGCACCTGTCCGCCGTAACCTTCGCTCCCTCTCCCCCTCTACCTTTGCCTCATCTGTGCTCTCAGCCCTCCCTTCCTCTGACTCGTTCCAACTCCTGCCTCCAAACTCTGCTGCAGAAACTCTCCTCTCTACTCTCTCATCCACTCTGGACTCTCTCTGTCCTCTCACATCTCGGCAGGCTCGTCAGTCCCCTCCTGCTCCCTGGCTAAATGACGCACTGCGTGCTAATAGAACCGTCCTTAGGGCAGCAGAGCGGAAACGGTGGAAATCCAAACACCGTGACGACCTCCTAACCTATCAAGCTCTCCTCTCCTCTTTCTCTGCTTCGATCTCTCAGGCAAAAAGCACTTTCTTTCAAGATAAGATCCAATCTTCCTATTCAAATCCCAAAAAACTATTTTCCATCTTCTCCTCCCTCCTGGACCCCCCCAAAGCCCCTCCCCCCTCCTCACTCCTGTCAAGCGACTTTGTTAACCACTTTGAAAAAAAGGTTGATGATATTCGCTCTTCTTTTTCTGACTCACCTTTACTCACCGCTGGGTCACCAGACCTTCCTTCCACCAACACACTTACCTCCTTTTCCCCTCTCTCTCCAAGTGAGGTTCTTACCCTCATTACCTCTGCCCCGCCCTACCACCTGTCCTCTGGACCCTATCCCTTCAAACCTCCTTCAGACTATCGTTCCTGATATTCTACCGTTTCTCACCCATTTCATCAACACTTCTCTAACTTCTGGTCACTTTCCAAACAGTCTCAAGGAGGCAAGAGTAAACCCTCTCCTAAAGAAACCCACTCTCAACCCGTCTGATGTTATAAACTACAGGCCTGTCTCTCTCCTCCCGTTCCTGTCTAAATCACTTGAACGCGCTGTCTTTAGACAACTCTCCTGTTATCTCCATCAGCACAACCTTCTGGATCCGCACCAGTCTGGTTTCAAGGCAGGTCACTCCACAGAAACTGCCCTCCTTGCTGTCACTGAGGAACTGCACACTGCTAAAGCAGCCTCCCTCTCCTCTGTCATCATCCTTTTGGACCTGTCTGCTGCATTCGACACGGTGAATCATCAGATCCTCCTTCGCACTCTCCAAGCACTTGGAGTTTCAGGCTCTGCACTTTCCCTCCTCACCTCATACCTGAAAGACCGTACCTACAGGGTGACTTGGAGAGGGTCCGAGTCCGACCCTTGTCAATTAACTACAGGGGTCCCTCAGGGCTCTGTTCTTGGTCCCCTCCTCTTCTCCTTGTACACAAACTCGCTCGGATCAGTCATTAGCCCGCATGGTTTTTCATACCACTGCTACGCTGACGACACCCAATTAATTCTGTCCTTTCCCCGCTCAGAGACCCAGGTCGTTGCACGCATCTCTGCTTGTCTAGCTGACATCTCTCAGTGGATGTCTGATCATCACCTCAAGCTCAACCTTGACAAGACTGAGCTGCTCTTCCTTCCGGGAAAAGATTGTCCCACTCTTGACCTAACAATCAACATCGGCACCTCAGTTGTTTCCCCGACTCAGACTGCAAGGAATCTGGGTGTGACCCTAGATAACAACCTGTCCTTCACTGCAAACATCGCTGCTACAACCCGCTGCTGCAGATACACGCTTTACAACATCAGGAAGATACGTCCCCAGCTGACCCAGAAAGCCACGCAGGTTCTGGTCCAGGCTCTCGTCATCTCACGCCTAGACTACTGCAACTCCCTCCTGGCTGGTCTACCTGCATGTGCCATCCGACCTCTGCAGCTCACCCAGAATGCAGCGGCTCGTCTGGTCTTCAACCTTCCTAAATGTTCCCACACCACTCCGCTCCTCCGCTCCCTTCACTGGCTTCCGGTAACTGCTAGAATCCACTTCAAGACACTGGTACTTGCTTACCATGCTGCGAATGGATCTGGCCCTTCGTACATCCAGGACATGGTTAAACCGTACACCCCAGCACGTGCACTCCGCTCTGCATCAACCAAACGGCTCGCTGCACCCTCGCTGCGAGGGGGACCCAAGTTCCCATCAGCAAAAACACATGGGTTTGCTGTCCTGGCTCCAAAATGGTGGAATGAGCTCCCCATTGACATCAGGACAGCAGATAGCTTACACACCTTCCGGCGCAGACTGAAAACTCATCTCTTTCGACTCCACTTCGAGCGATAGAACTATTAACGAAGCACTTTTATACTAATAAAGGACTGGCTTACCTAAAGCCAGTTGAGTAGCACTTGAAATGTTTGGCTCTATGAAACCTGATGTACTTTATGATTCTGTTTTCTTCAAGTTTGTATTTTTTTGGTCGAACGCACTTATTGTAAGTTGCTTTGGATAAAAGCGTCAGCTAAATGCAATGTAATGTAATGTAATGAATTCACCAGTGGGGTATTTACTGATGTATTTTATGTGGTAAAACAAAGCGTCAAGATCTCTTCAGCTTGTTTTAACCATAGCCCTTATTTCTGGTGTAGATGCAGCCTGATGCTGATTGGTTCTCTTCAACACAGTACAGTGACGGGTTATTAATCAGTATGGGGGATGATTGTACTTTAAAATGATATTTTTTCTGACATGGCTCGGTTAGCTCTTAATATCCCAGCTTCACTGCTGAGCCTCTGTTATCGGCTGAATTAAGATTTTACTTAAGATCTCACGTGAGTTTAAATGATCCGAGAGGGATTTGAAGTCGGCACTTTTTACGAGCTGCATTGCCTCTTAGATTGCTCGTCCCTGCGCTCGCTAACGCCTCATGAGAGATCACAGAAAAAGAAAGGGATCAATAAGCAGAGGCCGATATCTCCGAGTCATTAAAACCGGACCTCAGAGGCTATAAATCATCAGCGGGACGGGGAAACGTCAGCAGATAAATCACATCAGTGACGGACCGCTATCTGAGGATTTATAACTTAATACAGAGTTAGTGACGTCACTAATAATAAAGGCACCGAACAGCAATAATAATCAGGGAGGAAGACGATAAGGGCCACGTGTTTTTCTGTTTGTTCTGAGATTAAAGTTGATTACTGTTTACCTTACGACAGATTTTAAGGTCCTCCTCCTGACATATAAGGCCCTTAATGGGCAAGGACTAAGCTACATTGCTAACTCAGCCGTCAACAACACTGCGACCCTCTGCTGCTGGTTTGAGGTTCCCAGAAACAGCAGCAAAAAGAAAATTGGTCATTAATTAAGCCCCAAAGATATGGAACAAAATGCCTGGAGACATCAGGGAAGCCTGCTCGAGGAAGTCTTTAAAACAAAACTCAAAACTTATTTGTATATTTTAGCCTTTTAGGAAAGCTAACTCGACTCTTTTAGGAAAGATAACTCGACTCTTTTAGGAAAGATAACTCGACTCTTTTAGGAAAGATAACTCGACTCTTTTAGGAAAGCTAACTCCACATTTGTTCACATTGTGCAACCAGTGCAGTGCCTTTATTTGAGTCATTAAACAATATAATAAATAAAAAATTATCTGACTATTTAATAAGAGATTTGACACTTACACTTTTGCACACATTTAATTATTTTGGCTACATTTTATTTTTAAATAATTATAAAAAACTATTTAAATCAAAATCCTACATTTTTTAAAGATTTTAAAAGAATTACAGAAAGGGTTTTTAAATAATAAAAAACTATCAAAACTATTGTATTCCCATGTTTTCTTCCAATACTGCTTCTGCAATATTTATTAATACTTTATAAAAACATTTATATGAATTGTTTGCTATTTTTTCACTTTTTCATTATTTAAAAAGGTGACCTATCATGCTATATTTGAACAATATATTGTAGGGCCATACCTATATAAAGTATATAAATATAGTTTTTTTTTCAAAATACCAAACATATCCTGCATTTTAGCCATGCCTCATTTCGCTCTATTTGCTCTTTCCAGCCCTGTTTTTGCAGGGGGCTGATTCTGTGAGCTGCAGCTGACCACGCCCCCCTGCAGCTGACCACGCCCCCCTACAGGAGAGGGGAGCGTGCTCTGAGATCAGCTGCTGGGCTGCAGCGGGAAGAGGAGGGGGAGAAAAATAGATCTCCGTCCTCCGTGTTTTATTCTTATATATGATTATATAGAGTCATTATTCATTTGTTTTAAAGCTCAATAAATAACAAAGAAGACCTTTGAACGGCACTTTTCTAATTTTGTCCGGAAGATTTAAACTTTAACTCTTGACCGGCGAAACAAAACTGAAACTCTGCCGCACGGCCCCCTCGTTTCTTGGAAGAGGCGGAGAGGTGGGTGTTTGTCATCTGCTGGTGGACTAACCAGAGAGAATTACAGCGAGGGAGGGATTGCATTGAATTACAGCAGCGGGAGCAAACGCTTGCCTCGGGGAGGGAGAAAAAGAGCCACAGCGGAGAATAAACAGAAGGGCAACCATGGCAACCATGCACGGGAAGTCTTCTTCGCTGCTTTTGTGGCAGACTGCAGCGCCACTTACAGGCCTGGCATATGTACTACAGCGTCTCCAGCGCTTTTGAGCGGCAATGGCCGGCCGTGGCCCAACCTCTCATTCCTCTGATAGGTGGAGAGTTGCCCAATAAGCCCCTTCTGTGACGTAGAAAATAATTTAAATCTGGATCAGTCTGTATCAGATCCGTTGCCCCTTTTTAGAGATGTGGGTATGGAGGAAAAGAGAGAGAGTTGTGTTCTCTGACACTTGGTGAGTTCCCTGACGCACCGGGGACACATGTTCATGTATACAAGACGTACAAAAGTGCATTTTGCATGATAGGTCTCCTTTAAATTGACTTTCTTTTTGAACTTATTTTACAAATGATAGCCTTATTTTCTGGATTCCTGAAGCCAGTTAAAGAGTTTTCTGACTGTGCTAAACACGGTCCGTTTACATATGTCATTTACCCAGAGAGGGTCCCTAATTAAGAGCTATTGTTGTTTTTATATAAAGTGTTGTGCATTAGGAGGGGGGGGGGGGGGTATGGCAGACGGCCAGCAGGATGATGGGGCGATATTACAGAAAGCTTTTAGAAGAGCTCGCCCTCAGTATTGATGGTTTTATCTGGGGCTCATTACACTAAGAGCCGCAGTGATGGGGGAGATGTCCTTCAGATGACACACAGTCACACACAGTGCTGAGTAATAAAGCATCGACGCTCTCTATAAATATGTATGAGGTAAGATTAAATTAAAGACAAAAGATTGGGTCATTTCCTTTAAAATCCTGCAGTCTACTCACCGTTGTTAGTACAAGCGATACACGTCAGAGGATGGCAAAGCTGTTTCACTACGGAGGACTAAAGCTACCATTAAAGTAAAAACAGGAGTAAAAACATGACTTATTAAATGAACAAATGCAATAAAAAAGGAATAAATACAAGTTTCTATTGTCAAATAAATTTGGTAAGTAATTATTTCTATTCATATTTATTTAGTTTAAAATGATCATGCACATTTATTTGACAATTCCACATTTATTTCTATATAAATCATTTATTGATTGAGTCTTTTTTTAAATCATATTGGCAGCTTTAGTCCTCCACACAGGATGTTAATATTGAAGCTTGTTAATATGAAGGTTTTAAAGTGACCACACCACGTGTAACAGACATATACTCACACATGCTTCTGATGGAGGTTAGCAGCTGGAGTCCATTAAAAGTTAGATGGAGGTTCAGGCGTTACTGGAGGTTTAGTCGTCAGGTGTTACTGGAGGTTTAGTCGTCAGGTGTTACTGGAGGTTTAGTCGGCAGGTGTTACTGGAGGTTTAGTCGTCGAGTCGTCAGGTGTAACAGGAGGTTTAGTCGTCAGGTGTTACTGGAGGTTTAGTCGTCAGGTGTTACTGGAGGTTTAGTCGTCAGGTGTAACAGGAGGTTTAGTCGTCAGGTGTAACAGGAGGTTTAGTCGTCAGGTGTTACTGGAGGTTTAGTCGTCAGGTGTTACTGGAGGTTTAGTCGTCAGGTGTAACAGGAGGTTTAGTCGTCAGGTGTAACTGGAGGTTTAGTCGTCAGGTGTAACAGGAGGTTTAGTCGTCAGGTGTTACTGGAGGTTTAGTCGTCAGGTGTTACTGGAGGTTTAGTCGTCAGGTGTAACAGGAGGTTTAGTCGTCAGGTCTAACAGGAGGTTTAGTCGTCAGGTGTAACAGGAGGTTTAGTAGTCAGGTGTAACTGGGTCGTCCAGGTGTGTATTTTGAGGGTGAGTCAGGTGTTATTGAGCAGTGACAGCTGGCCTGAGGTGAGCTTCTGATTTAATCTCCACAAATCACAAGCAAGCGAGCCCCACCACAGTAACCACATTAATTAGAAGCAAGAGCCTGCAGAGCGAAGCTACGACAGGAGGAAGAACTAAAGCAGCGCACAGAACCAGGACAGCAGAACCAGGACTACAGAACCAGCACTACAGAACCAGGACTACAGAACCCCCCCACCCCACACACACACACACACACACACACACACACACACACACACACACACACACACCGGACCATCTGCCTCTGACAGACGTTAGAAGGTAAACACAAAGCAGAGAAACAGGAAGAGACAGAGCTAGAAAGCACCCGAGCACCAGAGCTCATTTTTGCCCCCCAGTGATCGCACCTCAGGCAGCTGGCTGCTGGAGTCTGAATGCATCCGCTCCAACATGGAGTCCCGCTGCAGGGAGTCCCGCTGCATGGAGTCTTGATGCATGGATTCCCGCTGCATGGAGTCCTGATGCATGGAGTCCTGATGCATGGAGTCCTGATGATGCATGGAGTCCTGATGCATGGAGTCTTGATGCATGGAGTCCTGATGCATGGAGTCCACATGGGTGGAGGCCGTGTCGTCTGTGGCGGAGTCACTGTTCATCTGAGGGGGGAACACAGGGGGGTCAGCAAAGACTTCATAATATGATCCTCCATAAAAATACAGTGAGGGCTGGGATTCTGTCATCTGTTATCTTTTTTAAAACATGATTTTAATCTAGGAATAATTTTTAAAATAATCTCAGAATTCTGACTTTCTTGACTGTTGACTGTCTGACTTTTTTCTCAGAAATATGAAAAAATAATAATTTGAAAATAGTACCTAAAAAACCCGGTGTTTTCATTGATTTATTGATTTCATTTAATTCAGTATTTTATTTCTATTTTTATCTCATCTGTGAGCCCGAAAAGGCAACGTGGGCAACCATGCTTGGGATTGGGTGCCAAAAGGGAGGCAGTGAAAGCAGAGGGTCTCGACAGACCAGACCCAGTGGAATGTCACCTCTCTGAGGGGGAAGGAGCCGGAGCTTGTGTGGGAGGTGGAGCGTTACCAGTTGAATCTGGTGGAGCGTTACCAGTTGAATCTGGTGAGGCGTTACCAGTTGAATCTGGTGGAGCGTTACCAGTTGAATCTGATGGAGCGTTACCAGTTGAATCTGATGGAGCGTTACCAGTTGAATCTGGTGGAGCGTTACCAGTTGAATCTGATGGAGCGTTACCAGTTGAATCTGATGGAGCGTTACCAGTTGAATCTGGTGGAGCGTTACCAGTTGAATCTGGTGAGGCGTTACCAGTTGAATCTGGTGGAGCGTTACCAGTTGAATCTGATGGAGCGTTACCAGTTGAATCTGATGGGGCGTTACCAGTTGAATCTGGTGGGGCGTTACCAGTTGAATCTGGTGGAGCGTTACCAGTTGAATCTGGTGGGGCGTTACCAGTTGAATCTGGTGAGGCGTTACCAGTTGAATCTGATGGAGCGTTACCAGTTGAATCTGGTGGGGCGTTACCAGTTGAATCTGGTGGGGCGTTACCAGTTGAATCTGATGGAGCGTTACCAGTTGAATCTGGTGGGGCGTTACCAGTTGAATCTGATGGAGCGTTACCAGTTGAATCTGGTGGGGCGTTACCAGTTGAATCTGGTGGGGCGTTACCAGTTGGATCTGGTGGAGCGTTACCAGTTGAATCTGGTGGGGCGTTACCAGTTGAATCTGGTGAGGCGTTACCAGTTGGATCTGGTGGAGCGTTACCAGTTGGATCTGGTGGAGCGTTACCAGTTGGATCTGGTGGAGCGTTACCAGTTGGATCTGGTGGAGCGTTACCAGTTGGATCTGGTGGAGCGTTACCAGTTGGATCTGGTGGAGCGTTACCAGTTGGATCTGTTGGGGCTCACCTCTACGCACAGAGGCTCTGGAACCTTACTTTTGGATAGGGGCTGGACTCTATTCTTCTCTGGCGTTGCCCAAGGTGTGAGGCGTCGGGCGGGTGTGGGGATACTCACAAGCCCCCGGTTGGGTGCCGCTTTGTTTGTGTTTATGCACCAAACAGCAGTTCAGAGTATTCAGACTTGAACCCTGAAAAGAGTCCTGTATGGGGCTCCTGAAGGGGACTCCGTAGTCTTGCTTTGAGACTTCAACGCACATGTGGGCCATGATGGAGACCCTTGGAGGGGCGTGATTGGGAGGAACGGCCCCCCTGATCTGAACCGGAGTGCTGGTTTGTTACTGGATTTCTGTGCTAGTCATGGTTTGGCCATAACAAACACCATGTTCGAACATAAGGATGCTCATAAGTGAACATGATACCAGAGTAACCTAGGCAGAAGGTCCATGATCGATTTCGTTATCGTATCATCGGACCTGAGGCCGTATGTTTTGGACACTCGGGTAAAGAGAGGGGCGGAGTTGTCAACTGATCACCATCTGGTGGTGAGTTGGGTCGAGTGGCGGGGGAAGCCTCTGGATAGACCTGGTAAGCTTAAACGTGTAGTGAGGGTGAGCACCAAAGTTGTTCTGAAAAACCGTCCGACACTTCAGGAGGGGGAAGCAGGGCAAGCTGGGTACAGTAAGGATGGGACGCTGTTGACCCCAACTGATAGGGTGTAACGGTACGTCCACACGGCAGCGTCGCGTTGAAGCTTGCCGGTGGGCGTGTCTGGCGTGCGACCAGTAACCAATCACATTAATCTCCTGCCCCGGACACACAAGCACGCGGTTTGATTGGCTGGCGCTTCCGTCAACGCTTGAAAAGTTGAACTTTTCTCAAATTTTGAAGCGAGCAACGGAGGCAAAGCGTGACGTCACCCCATTCAAAGTGAATGGGAAGCGTCTCCGTGGACGTACTGCAAGGGCAGTGGAAGAAACACTTTGAGGAACTCCTGAACCCGACAACTCCACCCTCTATGGTAGAGGCAGTTCTGGATGATGAGGGGGATCAACACCATAATTCCACCCTCTATGGTAGACACAGAGCTGGATGATGAGGGGGATCAACACCATAATTCCACCCTCTATGGTAGACACAGAGCTGGATGATGACGGGGATCAACACCAATCTCCCGGGGGAGGTCACTGAGGTCGTCAAACAACTCCACAGTGGCAAAGCCCTGGGGGTGGATGAGATCCGCCCAGAAATGCTGAAGGCTCTGGGTGTTGAGGGACTGTCATGGTTGACACGTCTCATCAACGTTGCGTGGAAGTCGCAAACAGTACCGAAGGAGTGGCAGACCGGGGTGGTGGTTCTTCTTTTCAAAAAGGGGGATCCGAGGGTGTGTGCCAATTACAGAGGCATCACACTAGTCAGCCTCCCCGGGAAAGTTTACTCTAAGGTACTCGAAAGGAGAGTCAGGCCGATTGTCGAACCTCAGATTAAGGAGGAACAATGCGGATTCCGTCCTGGTCGTGGAACGACGGATCAGCTTTTTACTCTCGCAAGGATCCTGGAGGGGGCCTGGGAGTACGCTTATCCGGTCTACATGTGTTTTGTAGACTTGGAGAAGGCGTACGACCTTCAGCACTCATCGGTTCGCAACCGAGTGTGAAGCGGCTGGGATGAGGATCAGCAACTCCAAATCTGACGCCATGGTTCTCAGCAGGAAACCGATGGACTGTCCACTTCAAGTAGGGAATGAGTCCTTACCTCAAGTGAAGGAGTTCAAGTATCTCGGGGTCTTGTTCTCGAGTGAGGGAACAATGGAGCGTGAGATGGGCCGGAGAATCGGAGCAGCGGGAGCGGTACTGCAGTCGCTTTACCGCACCGTTGTGACGAAAAGGGAGCTGAGCCAGAAGGCAAAGCTCTCTGTCTACCGGGCAATTTTCGTTCCTACCCTCACCTATGGTCATGAAGGATGGGTCATGACCGAAAGAACGAGATCGCGGATGCAAGCGGCCGAGATGGGTTTTCTCCGCAGGGGATAAGGTGAGACCAGGTGGAGGGATATATCTCTACCTAGGACCAGGTGGAGGGATTATATCTCTACCCAGGACCAGGTGGAGGGATATATCTCTACCTAGGACCAGGTGGAGGGATTATATCTCCACGTATGACCAGGTGGAGGGATTATATCTCTACGTAGGACAAGGTGGAGGGATTATATCACTACCCAGGACCAGGTGGAGTGATTATATCTCTACCCAGGACCAGGTGGAGGGATTATATCTCTACCCAGGACCAGGTGGAGGGATTATATCTCTACCTAGGACCAGGTGGAGGGATTATATATCTACCCAGGACCAGGTGGAGGGATTATATCTCTACCTAGGAGCAGGTGGAGAGATTATATCTCTACCTAGGAGCAGGTGGAGGGATATATCTCTACCCAGGACCAGGTGGATGGATATATCTCTACCCAGGACCAGGTGGAGGGATTATATCTCTACCCAGGACCAGGTGGAGGGATTATATCTCTACCCAGGACCAGGTGGAGGGATTATATCTCTACCTAGGACCAGGCGGAGGGATTATATCTCTACCCAGGACCAGGTGGAGGGATTATATCTCTACCCAGGACCAGGTGGAGGGATTATATCTCTACCTAGGACCAGGTGGAGGGATTATATCTCTACATAGGACCAGGTGGAGGGATTATATCTCTACCTAGGACCAGGTGGAGGGATATATCTCTACCTAGGACCAGGTGGAGGGATTATATCTCTACCCAGGACCAGCTGGAGGGATTATATCTCTACCCAGGACCAGGTGGAGGGATTATATCTCTACCCAGGACCAGCTGGAGGGATTATATCTCTACCCAGGACCAGGTGGAGGGATTATATCTCTTCTCTGGCCTGGGAGCTCCTTGAATCTCCCAGTCAGAGCTGGTTGATGGGAAAGGGAAGTTTGGGGCTCTTTGCTGAACTGCTACCTAGGCGACCCGACCATGGATAAGCGGAGAAGATGGATGGATGTTTTTAAAAAGAAATTCTAAAAGATTGGTGTTTTTTCTTTCTACAAATGTTTTTTTTATTGTTTAAAAATCTCATAATTCTTACATTTGAGTCAGAATTTGACTATTTTCTAAATAATTAATATAAATGTCATCAGAACAGGAAATAACTAAATATATATATATGTAATTGTATAAACATAGTGACCGGTCCAAAAGGGTTTAATAGTTACATTTTAGTGTTCGTGTTTCCTCGATGTTCTCAGAGCTCGACTTTTAGTCATTTTAGTTTCAATTAATTCAGAACTTAAATCCTGATTCAGGCAGAATGTGAGATCATGCTGTCGTAAACAAAGACATATAAATAACACTTTAATATTTCAGACTTCACATTAATCTGCATGCTTTAATAAACGGCTCATTCTGTCACCGTGCACTAACAGGAAGAAGAAGATAAAGAGA